CCTGCCTGCTGTTTCAGCATTCTCCTTTGGCCCAGCAGGAAATATCGAGTCATTAGGAAACGGTGATCCACAGCAGTCAGCAGGATTCACAACACAGACAGCCCTCTGGGGTTAAGTACTACCTAGATAAGCAGGTACTGGGCACAGCTGGACTCAACCAGAGCTAACTAGTTCTCAGCTAGGAAGAAAACAGTCCACTTCACAGGACTCAGCAGAGCAGCTGCTGTTTGGAACCTCTTGCTGCTTCATCATCCAAGCTACTTCTCCCCCCTTGCACATGGTGCTACAAGCTGCCTCCCAGGTCAGCCTGCTGTCAGGCAGCCACTGAGAACAGCCTTGCTGCACATCTCTGGAACACAACAGCATCTGCTGGGCTGGCCCTTCTGTTACAGGTAACACGGCTAGGATAGGACATACCCAATGGACTCATCTCTATCTAACTGCTGGCATCTAACTGGGACTTCCTGCTAGCACAGATTATATCCCATGCTTGTCGGAGGCCGTATCTGCATTCCCAGCCAGACACAGCACACAGCACCAAGAGGCACCAGTCCCAGCACACTGCTGTGTCCAGCTGCTCTAAGAGGGGCAGAAAACTGACCCCAGCGTTGCAGGAGAGCAGCAGCACTTGGACAGCACCTTCACTCACCACAGATGGTACCAACCTGCTAAGGCTCAAGCATGCCAACTTCAGAGGGGAAACTGAAAACTGAATTTAAAAAAGTCAAGACAAATTCATCCAATATCACTGTAGATTCAGGCAGAGTCTCAGGTTTAAGGATACTCCTGCATTTAATACTTGCACAAACAAACAGTACACCAAGGATGAGAACCAATGATTCAGATTTTGAGGAAGCCTGAGCAGTTTTCCAGCTTGCAGACCTGACTGGGAGTCACATTGCACTATACCAGAATTTATATGCTGACCTTCCAACTTTCAATTGCCTCATGCACAGTCTGGGAGATGTAGAAAGGGTGAGAAGGTGGTATCCTGCACAATTAAAAACAAACAACTACCACACTGCAGCAGTTGTTTTGGACATACATGCTGCATAACAGCAGCTAACAAGGGCCTGTAGCATCAGCCCTACTATAAATAGTGTCAGCTAGAGCTTCTGTGAGAACAGGTTAGGACCACAGCACTTTCAGTGGATTGGAATGGATGCAGCTGAAGATCTTAAGATCACTAAAAAGAAACATGAATGAGTCTAAGACTTCTTTTTTCCAAGTTGTTCTCTGGTTTGCCTTTCTGTTCCAGGCACCTATTTGAATTCAGTGAAGCATGGAAAAGCTCCCTGCAAAGATGGCAATGTTGGCTAGTGCAGCAGTTCTCCTCCTCCACACCAAGCCCCGGCCTCTACAGGCAAATCCATCCCAGCTGCCAAACTCACAGCACAATGTCTGCTCTGCAGGGTTTGTTTCAGTGCTGCAGGGGTTGGCTATTACCTTAAGCATGCGCCTTGAAAGAGCAAACACACAAATGCATTAGGAGCACAATCTAGCCCTTGAGCAGCTAAGCCAGACCTTCAAGGAACGTGTTCACCTCCAAAATGATCACACACCAAATCCACAACCCATCAACAGGTTAATACAAGTAGTCAGCCACGAGACACTGCAAAATACAATCTTCTTGTTATCTCCTTTCTGAACAGGGGACAGCTCCCAGATATGCCAGCCCTGCAGAGGGGCAACTAAGACCACCTGGAGTCTTGGGCAAGAGTAGATGTTGCTTGGAATTGGTAAGAAACACAGGGCTCAGTCTCAGGGTACATGTCCACAGAGCTCAGAGTATTAGTTCTGCCCAAGGCAAGACAACCAAAGTGCAGAAGCTTACAAACACATCCCTGCTTTCAGATGTCCCACCATTAACTTCCCAGGAAATGGGATCCTCATCTGTGTTGACAAAAAAAACACACAACCCAGAAAAACAAAATGTAAATTCTCTCCTTTTAACTTCTTCTGCATCACTGATCTTCACTAATCACTTGATTTGTATTGGTTTTCAGCAACCCTCCTCTTGACCTCACCTCCAAAAGCTTCTAATGCTCAGTCATAAAATGAAGCATTGCTGACTCTAGTACCATTACTAGCAGCCCTTGGAGATGGCACATTAGTACAGATAATTAAATGCAGCAGTGTTCTACAAGGCTACAAAATCTGAACAGCCACTCCAGTCAAATACCAACAGTTCCAAACCCAAAAGAATCATCTGTGCTTCTTTCTTCCTGAACTACTTTCCCATGCAGTGACTCTTTTTGGACGCCTGATTCTAAGAAATGTCTATCTAGGCCTGATAAATATTTCAATAGTATCCATCCTATTTAAGTGATAAGCTCCTGAGTGGCCTTGAGTTATGACTTGCAAAGAATCAAAGAGCAGGACAAGAGATATTCCTTCTCACATAGCCACAAGGCAGTTCAGCAAGTGGTAGAAAGGAAGAAAACACCCCTCAGATATTTAAAACATACATCTACCAAGCAGGAAGAGGGATTACAGCCAACATTGTCTAACCACAGAGGGAGCACACCAGGCCTGAAAGCACAGGCACAGGACACGCCAGCCCAGGTGAGGGTGGAGCCCATACCTGCACACCAGGGTGGCGATGATGACACACCATGCTGTACAGCAGCAGTCAGCATTCAGATTCTCGTCGCTCTTCCGATGGCGACAGCACAGCCAGAAGGAGTAGAACAAGAGGAAGAGCAGGTCCAGGGCCAGGCAGGAGAGCGCGATGCCACCCAGCAGCAACAGGGCCTGTGGAAACCAGAGAGGGGTGACACGTGAGCAGGGCGCAGCCGCGGCAGGGCACGAGCCTGGGCAATAAGGCAGCACTGAAGGCATACCTGGAAAGCAAGTCGTTTTGTGAGTTTTGTATATTTTTGATATATAAACAAGATTTTTAGCCTCATTTTCTGCCCTCTCTGCATTCTGCTTTATGAACCCACGTTCTGTACCTAAGCAGCAGAGTCGAGCCATTTTGTCTGTCCCAGTCTGCAAACAGCTGAAGCGAAGCAGGGAGGGTATCCTCTTTACTCCCGATTACAGGTCAGCAGATTTTAAGTGGGGGGAGAAAAAAAATAAATAGTTCAGCCAGCTGCCTCTATCTGTACAGTTCTTTAATCTTCATGAATAAATATGCAGGCTTATTCATTAGAAAGCCAAGTGCATGAGTGGGTTTGGAAAGGGGTGGAATTTATTATACATGCATGAGATTGACTTAAAAAAAATTAATCCCTATGCAATGCCTCTGTTCAGGCTAGACCTAGAATAAATGCTAAACCCCTCCATATACCATTCACATATATAAGCACAATAAATGTGGATGCTACAAAACACACTGGCTTGAAGCTCTCACAAGCCGAGTTACTGTGTTATACCTATTTCTAATCAGACGTTCCTGGGAGGAAAGGAAAGCATTAAGTGTCTAACTCCATTCCAACTTATTTTTATTCAGAAAATCCTGGCCAAACCCCAAAAATGCAAAACAATTTTGTTAAATAAGGCAAAAAAAAAAAAAAATTAACAAATCCAATCTAACATCAAATCCAGCCACACTTTCCCACATGAATGAAGTATTTTAGCCATAAGCTTATTTGATTAAACCCTTGGTAGTGGTGACAAATGCCAACTTATTAGAAATGGCTTAAATATCTGGAAAGGGTCTAAACCATCTACTGCTGCCCCTGTGTCAGGAAGGCAGGTACAGATCTGCATCAGCAAACCTAAAACAAAGGCTGGTGGGTTTGTTGTTGTCGTCTTGGTTTGGGTTTTTTTTGGGTAGGGGGTTGTTTTGTTTTTTAAATCAGTGTCTCTTTTCTCCCTTACGCAGAAATTCCTTAAAGAACATTTATACACTTCCTCCCAACTGCAACAGTAGCTTTCTCCAGGTCAAAGAAACAAAACAAAGAACTGTGTGATTAAAGTAAGATTCTCTGCTAAACTGGTGACTGTTTCTAAAAGGGTCTGGTAGTAACTTGCTCTTTGTAGGCTTTTCTTCCCCTTCTTTCCCCCCTGGTCTGCTCCATAGGTAGCCCCTGCTGAGTTATTAACCTGGCAAACTATACAAGCCACACAACACACTTTCCAGCCAAGCACACGTCAGTGTGTACAGACTGCAGGGCCCAGTGCCATAGGGAACAAGATTCACACTAGTTAAACCTAACTGCTACATCACAGATCCTCCACGTAGCCCCATGCTGTTTGCTTTCCCAGCCTGAAGAAACCCACCCAAAGCCCATGAAGCACAGGGGGACGGGGGCACCTTAGAGGTGTTGCTTTCCCCAACTACACAGCAGAAACTCAGTCCCTTTGTGGAAAGTGAATTTTGGGATCTTTAAGAGAGCAGAGTGGGGGTGGAAGGGAAAAAGCCCTAAGCCCCTTTCCCATGATTACGCCAGATGGTGTGTGTGTCCTTTGAGTTCCTGAGCAGAGAGGGGCCTTCGAGAGGGAAGCTGCATTCAGAGCCCCACGTTCTCCCACTTCTGAAGGCTTGCCATGTACGAGCACTCAATACTGATTTAACTAACACATTTGGCATACCAAAGCTCCTCGGGGATCTTCTTTATTTTTTAAACACGTCAGGCTGCGGTAACGGAGAGCTTTCCTGCACTGCTCTTCTTCCTTCACACCCTCAACCTTCCTCCACATGCTAAGAGGCATTACTGCTGGAAAGATGAACTCGGCTGAAAACATCATCCCAGCAACTCTTTATAAGCAAAAAATTCACACTGTAGCTCCAGATGTAGGGGAAGAGCCCCCACTAAAAGGAAAAAAGGAAATACTAAAAAGCAACAAACAAACAAAAGACTGCCATGCAGCAAGCTACCTGAAGCTCTTGCTTTGAAGGGACACTTAATACATGCTTCAATTTATGCATCTGGCCAAAAGGACTTGGCTGGCCATTACACCATGATCTGTGTTTCATTTTCCAGAGAATATTTGTTTTCCATTAATGGATATGTGCCATGACAACAAGTGAAATCATCCAGCAGAGCAGTTATTAATCTTTCTGACTGATGAGTCAGTTTAAGACCCAGAGACTGGCTGGCAGTGAAAGCCTGGTCACAACCAAAGATATGCCTGTGCTTGCTTGTCAGGATTAAATGTCAGTATTTAAGAAAAAAAAAAAAGGGGGTTGAGGCTGGATAAACCCTCAGACACTCTATCCTGCAACAGTAAATCTGGGACTCGGTTATCCAAGGCCACGTTATCCCGAGTAAATGTAAAATTATGCACTGGGCCTTTTGCCACAAAAGAGCATCAATTTGTCTTCGAACATTTGCTGAGCTATCAGAACCTTTATAGCAAATGATGCATGAACTGCCCTTACAGGAAAATGGAGACAACTTGGAGGAGCAACATTTTACCACTGTGCTGACACTAATGGCAGAAGTGGAGACAAAGCAGTCCCTGAAAATGAGCGTAAATCCAAGTGGTATCAGCCAGACTGGCAGGAGACGAAGCTGCAGCGTTGGGAAGCACTTTCAAAATAAAAGTTAGCAGCAGTACAGAGGGGAGTAGCCATGAGCAGCATTGCTAGCTTGGGAAGGCACCACGAAACCCAAATGCACCCCATCCTGCTCAGCAGTGCCCAACATCCTGCTGCAGTGTTAACAGGCCTTCTCAGCTGCAGCACGGTTGCCAGGACTCATGGTGTTTACTCTCTCCATGGGAGTAAGAAAATAAAAACGAGACAGAAAACATGTAGGTCTTCATGTGTGGAGAGAGGCACCATCACAATAAGAAACACAGGGCACAGCAAAAACGTCCCCTGCAAAAATACCCAGTGGCTGGTCAGCTCTTCCACATGCTATGAGGGTACCATAGGTGCTGATATTGTACCTAAGGACATGTATGTGGGTCAGCCTTCAGTTAGCACAGCCTCCAAGGCCATGCCTTAACGTCACTGTGGATCAATTAAACCAATATACAGCCTCATCTGCACAACAAAAAATCTCCATATAAAAGAGTCACTTTCAGTTTGCAAGTTCCAAACTGTGACCACATCATCAGTATCCTGAAAATACCTGGGGACTGTAGTCATGGAAGGTTAATTTTAGCTGCTGAAACTGCACTTATGGGATGTATACTCTATCCCATTCTACATAGGTGGTCACAAAGAAGTGATCTACATAAGAACACAAGAAAAGGTATCTACAGAATACATCTGAGCATATTTACTTCAAAGGGAGAGACTTTTTTTAGCCATGACGTGCTGTAACACAGGAGGTAGATGCTGGGTTGCATTCACATTAAGTGTTAAGGTTTAGCACTGCCTTAAGCGCTGTTCATTTGTCACTCTGCACATAGGAGGATTGGCTTAGGGACCCTTCCCCACACCACCGCGTCCCCTCTGCCATGAAGATTACTTGGCACAAGAAATCCTGGCAGAAGAACAAGTTTAGAAAGTTAATTCTGAATACACATGGGCTCAAAGTAATCCATGTGTTTATTAAATACAAGTTTTAGCAATCTCAACCTATCCAACTTCCAATTACCACATTCTTTGGACCTTAACTGTACTAAAAGCAGCATGGCATAGCAAAGAGCTCTTCGCGTGGAAGAGCTGATTTCTGGTTAGTACTGCCATTTAACAACTAGTTAGAAAGTCCACTAAAACCTCATTAAGTAACTTGAGAGCAAAGCTGAAGCCTTCAGGTGTTTCCTGAAAAGCATGTGATTTTGCTTTTCATCCTCCATCACTAATTTTTAAGTTATTTCATCTGAAAACTTCGTAATTTCCACCCACAGGACAAAATAGCTGCAGCTTTTGAGCATCTCAACAACACAGCTCTCGTAATCATTGCCAGATTGTGAACTGCTTATAGTTTTACCTTAAAGTTAGCTTTTGCCAAAAGAAAGCTTTCCACTGAATCTGCAACTAATGTTCCTTCTGGATTTCCATGCTGCGACTCGAGATTGTGATAATAAAACAGAGAGAAGAGGTTAAAGGAGTGTGGGAAGAGAAAAACGTTCACCCAGAAGAACAAATGAAGCAAGCTGGGCTGCTGCCAAAGGAGCACTCATCTCTATTTATTCCATGAAGGACGGAAGTCTTCATAGCAAGAAAAGAAACTGCTGTGGGATAGTGTCACGCCTACACTACTTCCTACACTGGGGTGTTTTTTTTTCAGACTACAGGACATCTCTGAGAAGCTTACATACTCACAGGTCCTACTACACTGGGGTGTACCCAACTGATTTTTTTGGGTTTTTTTTTTGTTTTTTTTTTTTTTTGTAATGCTGCAAACACAAGGAAAACACTCTGATCCCCTCAACTTGCTCTGAACATGCTGTGTGTTCAGAGGCTCCATCTTCCTCTCTGAAAAACGCTGTACGTGGTGTTTGCTGAGATATTCAAGTGTCTCAGGATGTCATTCATCCCACAGCCTCTACAGAAGGATGCAGGCTTTGGTAGGGAACAAAGCCAACTCTATGCTGGTAAATGTAGCATGGGGGGAGGATGTGGAAACCACTGCTGATCTCAGCACTAAACCATCCATATCTCCTCTGCCCGGGGGACAGGCCTTCCCAGGCCAATTACTGTACTCATCACAGCAGAGGAGCAAGGCTGGGCAGGAAACGTGCTGTGGAAGAGGCTTTTCCCACGGTACTGAGATGTATTCTCCTTCGTGAGGGATCCCCCAGCAGCATGGAAGAGCACCATGGAAACAGAGGACAGGTTCCACTGCCTCATCTAATACAGACATCTCCCAGAGAAAACACATTGTTAAGGGAGTGCAGTACATCTTATG